GTGGCTATGTACTTGTAACTGTTGCCTCTTTCTTTCCTCCCGGGAGGACACTGTAGAGACCGTTGACAGTTCTTAAATGGACCGATGCTAATGTCTTAATCACAGCCATCTCTGGGATTAAAGTCTGTTTATAGAAGGATTTTATACCATGTGGTAAGAGCTTTTCAAGCTTTTTTCCTACTAGAATGGAAGAAGTTTTATTTGTAAGAGTTTCCTCAGTAGGTTCACCCATAAATACTTTATTAGCCGTGCCACTTGAAGCCATGGCTTTCCTTAGCACAGGGGTGGGTGTGGGATGTTTGAGAGGAGGCATTTTCTTACAGATGTTTGCTCACGCTTGTGCTTCCTGCCTCAGGATCTCTTCTTTAAAGACAAAAGAGCAGGGAGACCGAGGGGACAGCTCCATCAGTGAGGTGCCTGCCTCGGAAGCGTGGGGTCCGTGTCCAGATCCCAAATACACACATGAAAGCCTGGAAAGATTGTGTGTGCCTGTAACCCCAGGGCTTAGAAACAAGCAAGTCTAGCCAAATGGCAAGCTCCACGTTCAGTGAGAGACCTTGCCTCAAATATCCACAGTGGAGGAAGGCCTCCACATGTACACACAGCCATGTGTGCCCGCGTACATACATACAAACATGGGCCTGTACCTCACATACATGCAATTGTTGTTTTTAATGAAGAAGCAGGCTGATTGAGGTGAAGGGGTGGCAAAGTCATCGATCAGAAGAGCCAGAATCCAAGAAAGCCTGTGCTCTTTGCTTAGCATCGCAGTGCCTTCCGGGGTTTCCAGTTTTGTGCAGGACTTACCTCTACGGTCCTTTGCAGCTTTAAGTACAAGCTGGAACTGCCAGGCTCGAACTACTTGGAGGGTTCCAAATCAAAGTCGTCTCTCAGGTTCAGTGCGTGGGACTCTCTAGCCCTGGAACCACATTTCTTTTCTGTTACTCCTAACTGGTCAGTATTCATTCATCGGCAGCTTAGGTATGTACCAAGTGTCCAGCCCCTTGGTTGTTCTAGGCCATCGAAAACCCAATTGAACTGACTAGTCAGGCATGAGAGCATTATCCTTTAATGAAGGGTTAGAGGAAAGGCTGCTTTTTTCTTCCCCTCCACCCTGAGAGCAAGGATGAAGCAGCCCAGAAAAAAAGCCTGCTTACAAAAATGCCAGGCTCATGCAGGCACATGTCCATATCTGGTCTGTCTTGCTCGACCTTGAGCTTTATGAAGGAAAGAACTATGTCTTGGGCCTAACACATACCCTGGCCTGGGGCAGGTGTTTAATGTCGGCTGAACAAATGATTAATTAATTCCTGCAAGCAGTCCACTAATAAAAGGATTTGGACGGGTCCCTTCACCGCTCCAATACCTTCATTTATTCATTTATGAAACGAGAAGAAAGGACCCACCCCAAAGAACAGCATTGAGGGCTTTTGAAGCAATACAGCATGTACACTAAGCACCCAGCACACTGTAGTCTCTAGGTGCGTGGCACAGGTGTGTGATCTCAGCCCTTGGGAAGATCAGAAGTTCAAGGCCATTCACAGATACATAGCAAATTCAAGGCCAGCCTGGGCTACTTGAGACCGTGTCTCAGAAAAAAGAAAGAAAGAAAGAAAAAGAGAGAGAGAAAGAAAGAAAGGAAAGAAAGAAAAAGAAAAGTACATGTGGTTGTAACTTTTATTATGATTAATGTGGGGAGGTGCAGGAAACCAAGAGTGACCTTCCATCTCTTCCTTTTTCTCTTCATTTTCTTCCTATTCTTCCTCTTTTTGTTACCTCCTCCTCCTCCTCCTCCTTCTCTCCTCCTTTTCTGTTTGTTTTCCTCCCAGCAGTGATAAGATTGAATTCTGGGTTTGTGTATTCCACACCCTAGCTTATTGCTCCTGACCTTGTGACCTTGTTTTAATCTGTTGAAAGAGAAGGGAAGGATACCTGGCCCAGCTAGGTGGATCCCACTTTGCTCTGTTGTCGGAACCTCAATCTTAGATCCTGAGGATCTTGGGGGCGCATCCAGAGCTTCTCCCCTGCATAGCTTGAGCCAGCTGGTTGCCATGTTTCACTCTGTCACCAGAAAGGAGAGGGGGTCTGTTTGGGGAACACTGATGTTTGGCTTAAAGAACGCTCTCCCCAGTGATGCCAGCTGCCTAGTTATGGAGGCTTCCTCCTTGAGGCTCTGACCCTCTAACGGAAAGTGTGTTTGTGTGTTTATGTGTGTGCCCACACGTAGGGAGCAGTTCCATCCCACTGAGAGAAACAGGCAGGCCTCGAACTCAGAGATCTGCCTGCCTCTGCCTCCCAAGTGCTGGGATTAAAGGTGTGCACCACGCCAGTCACTAAGTCCTTTCTTTGCCTCTCTCTTTCAAAGTCCTAACAGTGAAACGGTTAAAAGCAAAACAGAACGCAAAGCAGAGAACATTCTGCTTGGAAGCTCTTTGCTAGAAGAGTGACGGTGGAAGGCTGGCATGGCAGCACCTCTGCTGGCATAAGATCTGGTGGGCTCTGCACAAGGCTGAACTGGGTGATGGCAGCCTACTACCTCTACTCCTAAGCAAAGCAATTATCCCCTGGTGTCACATTCCTGTAAGAAGCACAGGAGCTCTGAGCCCTCAGGGAGACAATGACACGTCTCTGTGTTTCGGAGTTAGAACTCAAGCTGCTTCCCAAGCTTTGGCCAGCTAGTTTTGGAAAAAGGTAGCCATCCATTCAGGTACATCTTGCCCGCTCCTTCTGGTCTGTATGCTGACAAACATGGAAGCCTGACTGGATAGCAGTAGAGGGCTCTTTGTCTATCTTGTCTTCCGGAGTCTGTTAAAGGACTTCAGCTCCACTTTCATTTCTAGGTAATTATTTTTAGCTTTGTTTCATTTGTTAATAGTGTGAGTGGGGGCTTGGCTTGGGGGAGGGGCTGTACCACAGGTGCCTGCGGAGGTCGGAGGACAACTTTTCGAAGTTGGTTCTCTGTCTCTCCACCCTCACACGAACTCCAGGGATTGAGCTCAGATGGCCAGGCTTACTCAGCAAGCACCTTAATCCTCTGAGCCATCTCAGCTGGCTCCATTTCTGGGTAATTTATCAAGAATGAAGGTTTGGGCTGGCAAGGTGACTCAGTGAGAAAGAGTACTTGCTGTGCAGGTACTCATGAACCTGAGTTCAAATCCCCAGGAGTCATGTATAAAAAGCCAGGCTTGGCTGCACATGTCTATCCCAGCAGTAGGGGTTGGAGACGGGCAGATTCTGGAAGCACATCGGGCAGCTAGCCTCGTCTAAACTGGGAGCTTCCAGTTGAATGAGAGATCCTACTTCATGGGAATAAGGCAGAAAGTGATAGAGGAAGACACCTGACATCTTCCTCTACCCCCACATGTGTGGATGCACACACATGAAAATACAGCTAACAAGCCATACACATACACTAACACACAAGTGGAATAAAGGTTTATTCAACTCTGGGTTATGAGGGCTGAGGAGTTCAGGGCCAGCGGTTGTCACGTGGTGAGACAGAAAACTTGCTAACTTACACCTGTCCTCTTCTGAAGCTGCTGTCCCTTTGGATCAGGCCGCACCCTCATCACCTCATTTAACCTTAATCGCTTCCCAAAATTCTTACCTCCAAGAGCCATCACTGAATTAAGTATGTTTGCTTACTTTCTTGATACCTTACAACAGAGCTTAAACTTCACTGGGAGTTCGACTCCCTAGTCCATGTTTGTCTTCTGCAGAGCCCTGCTTTGACATCCCAACAGCATCAGGAGTCTAGGGTGACCCGTTATGGAAGGCAGTCTCAACGGGTTATCTTGTCTGTGGGTCGTGAGGCCCTTCTAGAGCTGAGCTGCTGGGACCCCATGGCCACAGGCAGACCCTTGAGCAGATCGGTCTGCTGTGAACTCCTGGCTTGAGTTTTCATAGCCTCCCTGACTCTCTGCTTGCACTGATTGCCTTAGCTTTTTGGTTTAGGCTTTTGTTGTTGTTGTTTGTGTTTCTAGAAACGCCTCGTTGCACTACAGAATGAGATGTAGAATAATGCATATGCATGAGCTAATTTAAATCAACTACACTTTGAGGTCAACTATGGGGAGTGAACAGAATCACTCCACGAATGCCGTGAATATAGGATGCCCACCCAGGGAGCAAGGGGCAGGCCGGAGGCGAGGGTCCTTCTCCTTGGCTGGCTCATCCTGTGACGTGCTGTTTCCATACATACTGCAAGTCCAAAATATATAAACAAAGGTTGTCAGGCACACTTTGAAATCTCTGCAGCCTCCCTTGAGACCTGGTTGAATTGACTTCAATGGAAATCTGGAAACAGAAACTCTGGCTGAAACTCGTTTCATGGATCCACCAGCAGCAACTTGTTGGTGTGGTAGCAGCCCACAGGGCCTGGGGACTGGGAGGGACCACAGCGTTGGGAAGGCTGGGTTCGAAGGAGGGCAGAGGAGTGGAGGAAGGTGGCTCAGACAACCCTTGAAAAGGGTGGGGAGAGCCAGCACAGTTGGTCAGATGCACCGTATAGGTCTGAGGAAATCAGGAGGACAATACTTTCCAGAGACGTCTACTTAAAAAAATAAACTCACACAGCACTGGGGCTATTTTCAATTTTCAACACTGCAGATGACATTTTAACTCTTAGACCAACTTGGCCATGTCTTCTGCCCCGCTCCTCTGACTTTTCAAATCTCTCCCTCTGTGCTAGGCTGCCTCAAAGGGACCAGGATTCCTTTGCTTCACGCTGCTTTGTGGTTGAAGGCTTGTCAGGTTGAAACTATCTCCTCTTGAACAGGAAGCTCCTCTCAATGAGGGATAGCGGCATGCCCCAGGCTGCTTGTAACATGGAATGGCAGAGTCAAATCCAGAGCCCTGCAGCCTGTGCCCTTTGCACAGAGCCAGCAGGCTGGCACGAGGGAGGGCAGTGCACCTGGCATCCATCTGGCACTCCTTGGAGTGGGGCACGGGTGGGTCCGGCTGGAGGACTGGGCTCATGTTGCATGCTGTCTTGTTGACAGTGGAATCTGGTGTGTGAGGATGACTGGAAGACACCCCTCACCACCTCCCTGTTCTTCGTAGGCGTTCTCTGTGGCTCCTTCGTGTCTGGGCAGCTGTCAGACAGGTAAGGACATTGGATGGGGAATAATGGGGTATAGCTGTTCGTATATATAGCAGTTCGTAGCCTAGCTTGACACAAGGCCAAACTCATGGGCTTTCTACACAAAGAAAGACCCTCTAGGCATTGGGCAAACAATAAGAGGAGCCTAGCACTTGGGAGGAGAGGGCCTGGGAAGAGAATTACAAGGTCAATGTCAGCCTGGACCCTGTATCAAGACTTTGTTTGACTGACTAAGTAAATAAATCTTTCCCAGATAAATCTAGGGTGCTGCCTTGACTGTAGCACCCCTATATGACAAGATCCTGCCTATCCAACTCACTGAGTGACAAACAAGCTAAGAAATAAAGAAGCCTTTCCCATATGGTCCTAACATGCAACCCTAGCCCCAGCACCCTCCCGAGACACACCCCTGTCACCCTCCCGGTCTGAACTCACAGGGCTTTGGCCAAAGAGACAGAAGTATCAACCCAAGCCCCTTCACAGAAGAAAACGCTGCTGTCATCAGTGACCCCCCCCCCCGAACTCTTGACAGGGTTGGGGGTAGATGATATATTGTTATTGTACCAACAGCCAATATTTAGAGTCAGGCCAAGCAGCCCCCACTATGCACTCTCTGAGCCTGGGAGCTGAGCCATGGCTGGGCCTGCAGCCATAGAACTGACCCAGGCTGGCTTTGGGCCACCAGAGCTTTCGTGGGGGCAAGATTGCAGTAGCCCAAGTTGTGTCCTACCTGTCCCAGCTGTTCTCTTGTGGCCAAGGCAAGCGGGAGTGTTAACTGGCAGTATTGGGCACCACTTGGGGATCCCCAAGTTTTAAAGGCCAGTGGGAATGGGGCAGGAAGCTCCTATCCACACCTACTCTCCACCCTGCCCGTTGGTCACTGCCAGAATGAAAAATTAAAGCTTAAACTGACTGGTGATACAACAGACGAGGCTGAGAATGACATCTTCCCAGAAAACAGTGGTTTTCAATTTTAGAGACAAACCTGGGAAACTTCATAACACCCCAATACTCAAACTGCACTGCAGACAAATAAGGCTTGGGCAAAGTGGGGAGCTGGCATGAGCGCCTTGCCTTTCCCCCAGGCCTGTCCTGATGAACCCACCCTAAACTGAAGAGGTCTTACATTTAAAAAAATCCTCATGTCCCTAATACAACAGACTAGCTCAAGAAACAGCCAACTGGAGAGGACCAGCCGTTTCCTGTCAGGAGTGCAGCTCACTGCTGCTGCTCAGCATGGGGAGGCCCGCAGGCCGTATCCCTGTCCGCCAGGGAGAGTGCAGAGAATCCAAGAGCAGAATTCAAAGCAGGTATTCTAACGGAATGTACAGCACTTCCCCAACACTGGAAAGTCACGAAGTCCTAAGCTGAGCCGTTGTAAGTCAAGGGCCACATCTGTCATTTTTAAAGCTCTCTGTGTGGTTCCAAGTGCAGCCAAGGTTAAGAGGCAAGAGGCCTTGAGGGAGTTTCTAAACTTACAGAATTCCCATGTGAGCAATATAAGATGTATCTGCAACCTGCCCTTTGAGCTTTCCCCAGTCTTCACAAATGGTGTGGCTCTTTTTTTTTAAATTTGTCTTTCGAGACAGGTCCAGGATGGTTGAGGATGGCCTCAAAATCGCTGTGTCGCTAACAGTGGCCTTGAGCAGTCCTTCTGCCTCAACCTCTCTCAGGTGCAGGGATCACAGATGTGTGCTGCCACACCCAGCCTACCCCATTCTGGGGATCAAAGCCAGAGCTTCATTTGTGCTAAGCAAGCTCTCTGTTCCCTAAGCCATGCCCCCAGCCCTCCTACGGCTCCTCCTAAAGATCGCATCTGTCGATGTGCTCCTCACAGAAGACGCCCTGTGTTTTCCAGAGACCTGGCATCTTGGAAGGTAGTTCCTGGGAAGATGGCTTCGCCTCCAGGAAAGAGGCTGACAGGATGTCACAGGGAAGGAAAGACACACACAGACATCTGTCTGAGTCCTGCGACGAGGCAGAACCTACAGTGAAGCTAGGCTTGGGGGTTCCACACCCCGAGTCACTGTGTTTACGCTTTGTTCCGTATGTAGGTTTGGCAGGAAGAAAGTCCTCTTTGCGACCATGGCTGTGCAGACTGGATTCAGCTTCGTGCAGATCTTCTCCACCAGCTGGGCGATGTTCACCGCGTTATTTGCCATCGTGGGCATGGGTCAGATCTCCAACTATGTGGTGGCCTTCATACTAGGTAGGAATGACTTTGAGACTCGATGCCCCTTCCTGCAACCCTGCAAAAGGCTGAGAAGGAGGAAGCAACTGAGCATGCATCCAAAGTACCCTCCACCTTGAATACATGTGTGGTATGGTAGGGCCTGCAACTATGGGGACCTCGAGCCAGCCACAGCAGGACAGGAGCTCACAAGCTCACATTTGTTCTGGGCCAGAAGGTGGCCAAACACAAGAGCTCGAGCCGGGAAGTAGTAGCCACACAACAGTTGAGACACATTCTCAGCAACGAGGAGCTTGGGACAGGAGGTCCTGAGGGAGAGACAACAGGGTATGAAGTTCTTGACGTGGGCTATGAAGGCAGAAGGCTGGTGGCCTAAAAAGGGGCTTGGGGGTTGGGAGGAGGATGTGGCTTATACATGGGAAGGAAAGGTGGCAGGAATTTGTCCCACCTGGGCAGATCTGCTCTGGCCTGAGTCTGAGCCCACACCCAGAGCATATGAGCTCTGCACGGGCCAGCTGTGCCTCTCTGATAACAGTCCTGTGGTCGGAAGGCCAGGCTGAGGGAGGGCGAGCCACCAGTTCCTAGACCCTGAGGAGATCCTGGACCTGCTCCAGCTTTTCCGGGGAAGAAATGAGGTGAGCTTCGTGGAAATTGTTCGGGAGTGCTCTCAAAAGTGTGAGCCCCAACAACAACATACCCTCTGGGGCCCCCTCCTCATTATGATGAAAAGAGGTGAGATGAGCCCCAGCAATAAACACAATATCCAACAATCTTTAGTACAACCATTCTAGTTGGCCCAAAATTATCCCAGCTTGTTCCCATTGTCCCAGCATAACTATTGATTGTGCCTCTTTAATAGGAGTCTAATGGCCTTTCTTGCACCTGGCTCTGTGGTTCCGATTGCTCTCAGGGGCCTGTGACTCATTGGCCTTGGCAATGATGTGTTCTGTTAGCCAAACACATGCACAACCTCTGTCAGGTTGCCAGGGTGGAATTGTACAAATTCCATTCCTTTAATTATTGCCACGGGCTCAGCCTCGTGTCTGAGGAGAGAGGACACACAGGAGGAAACAGAGCAAGCAGAAACCGCACGGTCCCACGTGGCCGATAGGTAGCTCTCTATTAAGTGGGCCCTGGCACGGAGGAAGCGTTCTCAGCCCTATGAGGATGAGGAGTGCTTTTCTGATGTCATCTGGGAGGCTGCACACATGTTATCAGGAGGCAGAGACAGGAGAATACGAAGTGTTAGGATAGACTGGGGTGTGTGGCAAGACCATGTCTCACGAAGGCAAAATAGGCAAAACTCGCCATAACAAAAATTATTTCTGTAGAGGCAGAGAAATTTGTGCAGAAAGAAAAGAGCTGCAAGCAGTGAGTGATGCGAGGATGGAAGGAAAAAGCCAGAACAACCCAGGCTGGGAGCAAGGAGTGGTTCGTGGCAGGCAGTCACACCCTCTGAGGCATTTTTACTGTGTGTGTGTGTGTGTGTGTGTGTGTGCATACAAGCATGCATGTTTGTATGCATAAGTGTGAACACAGGGTCCTGGGCAGGTGGAAGACAGGGAAATATCAGGTGTCTTTCAAAATGGCTCTCCACTTGTTTTGTTTTTTTTTTTTCTTTAATTAATGTTTTTGTGTGGAAGGGAACGCACCCAAGCCATACAATGCACGTGTGAAGGGCAGAGAAGTTCATTTTCTCCTCCCACCATGTGGGTCCCTGCGAGTCAACTCAGAGGATCAGGACGGGCACTGAGCCAACCAGCTAGCCAGCCACTTTTTTTTTTAAACTTTATTGAATAAACTCTTCATGTTGAACTCGGAGCCCTCAGGCTAACCTACCTCAGAGAGCCTCCTGTCTCTGCCTCCCCGGCGCTGGGATTACAGGCATGTTCCACAGTGCCCAGCTCTTTTAGGTGGGTACTGGGCGTTTGAACTCACTTCCTATTTTCTTGCATGGCAAGCGCTTTATCCACAGACCCAGCCCTGGGCCCCCTCAAGTCCCTCAGAACAAGACCTCCGAGTAAACAGCGCTGCAGCTCCGGCCCTCCCTCCCCCTTAGCCATGGCCTCATGTGCAAGGTAGAGAGGAGAACCAGGTCGAGGGTAGGTTGGAGCTTAGGTGTGTCAAGCCAGCAAGCAACAGAAAAGACTGCAGACACAGGGCCCGTGTCTGCTTGGGTCCACACCTCTCAGCCTAGTGGCTCGGGGGAAGCTGCTGACATCGGGTTCTTAGCTCTGAAGGCCTGTGAGAGTCACTGAAAACTGGTCTGTCCCAGAGCAGGTGGCGGCTCCATCAACTCCTGCAAGGGAGGAGTTGGAAGGGCAGACATGGTGACTGGCTGGTTTTCCTGCAGCGCAGCAGCGCCCTCTGGTGCGTCAAAGATAGAATAGCTGCAACCGAGAGTCTTTTGTTGGGACTTTTCCGGGAAGCCGAATTTGAACAGATTTTCCTTTGATTCTCTCTGTCCATGCGCTTTTATCCTCCCGGCTCTGGGAAGGAATCTGGATGCTTGGGGTGGCAAAAGTTCATCTTGGGATTAATCTTTGCACTGATTCCAGAAGCTGAATTGTTCCCAAAGCAGTACAGACATGAGTTTTCCGGGCTGCTCTTAAAACCTCACCAGGCTTGTCCGACTTCGGGTTATTCGAAAGGCAAGCCAAACTCATGCTACCCAAAGCAACGAACAGTGGATGCACCTCCCAGGGTGGGGAGGTGAGGCTCAGGATCGACCCTCTCAGTACTCCAGCTTTCCTCCAAGCCCCATGTCATGCTCAGACATAGTGCCCTCAACCTGCCTGTAGACTTCTGGGTAAAATGGCCAGCGGTGTCTTCCTTCATGACCTATAATGAATTGCTTCTCTGCTATCTACAAAAACAAAAAATGAATAAATAAACCTAATCACTTCCTGACTCGACTGATTCACGAACTCAGTATTTTCCAGTACTTCTAACATTAACACCCAACCACTCTCCCACCCACGCCCACCCCTGCGATTGGTGCTATGACATCTCTTTAGACGGGTTAAAGCCTGCTTCCTCTGGTCCATGTTTCCCTTTCAGGAAGTGTACAACTGATGTCCTCTTCTGTAACACCGGCTACCAGGAATCTCAGACATATGTGAAATTGAACTACATCGGTTACGTAGCTTTTGTCAGCCACGGATGTATTTTTTATGGTTGTTCACTCATTTGTTAATGTACTTATCTTTTTTACATTGGGGATTGAGCCAAGGGTCTCCTGCATGTGCTGTCTATGGGATCCACACACAAGCCCTTCACTGCTTTTAACTTGAAATGTAATTGTGTCCTGGTCTACTTAAGTGGAATGGCCTAGCCAGATACCACAGGCCAGTTCAGCTGGAACACAAAGATTTCATTTTCTGTGTCATGGCAGCAGGACTGTGAGGCCCCTGGTCACGCTGTGTCATCAGTCAGGAAGCAGAGAGAGAGAGAGAGAGAGGAATGCCTGTGCCCAGCCTCGCTCACCTCCTTTGTGTCTCCACTAGCATTCCAGCTGAGGACTGGTCCATAAGACAAAGGGTTTGCCCCCCGGCGATTTTCTTTTTGAAGGGTTTACATGCATAGGTTGACATATACAGCTTATATCCTGGTGATATCACTGCACCGGGCTTTCTTTGCTCTGGGGTTAGGGATTTTGATTTGTCTAGGTTTCGTTCATGTGTGTATGTGCATGTGCGGAGACCAGAGATTAATGTCATATGTCTTCCTCTATCACTCCCTAACTGAATCTGGAACTTACCATTTCAGATAGACTGGCTGGCCAGCAAGCTCTCAGGATCTTTGTGTTTCCATCCCCAAGTGCTAGAGGTCAGATGTGTGCAGCCATGTCCAATTTTCATATGGGCTCTGGGGACTTAAGCTTAGGTCTTTATGTTGATCAGCTACCCCTTCATCCACTGAGCCATTTCTGTAGTCCATTTGTTTGTGTTTTTGAGACATGGTCTCTTGTAGCCCATGCTGACACTGAACTCAGAATTTATGCAGCCAAAGAACTCCTAGTCATCCTCCTTCCTCTTCCTGAATTCTGGCATTTTGACTATGAGCTTCTATGTCTAGTTTGTATCACTGTTACAGATACATGAATGCAGGCAAGTAGCTTTAAGTCCTTACATCTCCGTTGAGTATTTGTGAGACAAGAGCCAAAGACATCATTTATATAAGCATTTACCATAAAATGAGGCTTAAAGAACTGCTCAGAAAAGTGTTGGCTGTGAAGATGATGGTGGTACTGATGGTGGTGGTGGTGGAAGTGACAATGGTAATGATGGTGATGGTGGTGGTGGTAAGGATGACAATGTCTGGAACTGTGATGGTCATTCCGGACATCTTGATTACTGCTCTGCGGTTGTGATGGAATACCCTGGCAAAAGCACCTTAGGGAAAGAAGGGTTTCTTTTGGCTTACCCTTCCATGGGGACTGTAAGTCATTATTATAGTTACATTACTGTGTTAATAATAGTTAGACTTCATGATGGGGAGGATGTGGCAGCAGAATCATGACGCTGACCTGGCAGTCAGAAAACAGAGAGATAACATTTTCTCCCTGCACAGACAGGAAGCATAGACAGAAAAGGACGTGGAGTCGCGCTATAAAACCTCAAAGCTACCCCTAGATGTACTTCCTCAAGCAAGACTCCACCTCCACCTCCCAAAGGCTCCATCATCTTCCCCAATAGCACCACTAACTAAGTGTCCAAATACATAAGCCTATGGGAGACATTGCTCACTCAAATGACAGCAAGGTATAAGGAGGGGAGAAATGCTAAAAAGTCAGGGAGCAGTCCACCATGATCCACGGGCTGGCAGAGTTCTGCCTATCCTTGCCCGGTAAGTGGCATATAGCCAAATCATCCCGAGTCCGTTACCATCCGCTCTATGACCCTGACCTGGCTCTACAGTTTATCTCCCTGGCCTCACATGTAAGCAAGAGCCTCAGTTGACCCTGCGTGCTTTTCTTTTCCATGATCAAAGTCTCTGCTTCTGGATTTCTGGCTAGAAAGAACACACCACATGCCCATTCGCTGTCATATCATAATCCCAGCCATGTCAGGATAGAATGCATTCATTCATCAAGTAAGGAAAGATCTGGAAGCAGCGCTGAAATGTAAAGTAATCAGCACCACCATTGGGAATGAGTCTACATGCTGAAGGATAGCCCTGGGGTTAGAAGCCCGGTCAGCCCGGTCACACTGTGAGACTCGGGGGACACCCAGCAGAAGACTGTTGAGGCCAAGCCCAGCCTCAGCTCTCTCAAGAAACTGAAAGAAAAAAAAAATCAGAAAGGGAACCTCTGAGGAAGGTGACCTACCTTCTTTTTCATTCAGTCTAGGACCCCACGCTATGAGCTGGTGCTATCCACATTTACGAAGGCCGTTCCAAGCTCACTTAATCTAATCCAGAAACTCTCGAAGATATGCTCAAAGTCTCGTCTTCTGGGTGATCCTAGATCCTTCAAGTTGACCATCAGTGTTACTAGCGTAGTGTGGGCAGGCCCTACACAAAAGCTGGAGCTCTTGCCATTGGCTGTGTCTCTGTCCTTAGGTCAGAAGGCCCAGAATGAGTGGGTTCTATAAAGCGCTAGTGCTCCACAACAGAAGATGACGTGCTAGAACTCTGACCCAAGTGGCAACAGCATCTCTGAAGACCCGCTGCTGAGTGGCCCGCTCTGCTGCTTGCTGCCAGCTCACCCTTCCCCGGGCAGTGCCAACTGCATGTGGTCTTGAGCCTTTGCTCTGGTCACTGGGTGTGGGCCCAGCAGTTGGGCCACCCCCAGGGACGGCAGGACAGCTCCTGCCTTGCTGTCACATCCGAGCTCTGTCTTTCTGGGGAACATCAGCTCCGGTGCTGGCTGCAAGCTCTGGGAAGCTCCAGAGGCAGCTAGCTTCTGGGATCAAGGACAGGGAGTGTGTCCTGACAGCTGGGAGCGCCACTGTTGTCTCCTAGGCCAGTGTCTGTTCACATACAGATGAGATCTGTGGACACACCTCCCACACCCTGATGCTACACAGAATCTCAAAAAAAGCAGTTCCCGTCTCCTAGGACAAGACAGTCTGTGTGTCTCCTGCTGGCCTCTTATTCTGAAAACAGCCTTCTCAGAAAGCAGGCATATTGGTTTCGTTGGTAGAGCCCTTGTCAAGTGTACATGGGTTCAATCACCAGTATTGGGAAGAAACCCCGTCTCAGAAAGCAAATGTTGGAGACAGCGGGAATGCTGATACCGCCCTTGTTTCGAACAGGCACTGAAATTCTGAGCAAGTCGGTTCGCATTATCTTCTCCACGTTAGGAGTCTGTACATTTTTTGCAATCGGCTACATGGTCCTGCCGCTGTTTGCGTACTTCATCCGAGACTGGAGGATGCTGCTGCTGGCCCTGACGCTGCCTGGGGTGCTGTGTGTCCCCCTGTGGTGGTGAGTACTGCCGCCATTCCCAGCCAGCCCTCTGCTGAGGCAGGCAGGCTCCCCAGGGAGAAGCCCAGTACTCACCCAGCTGCATCTGCATGCTCTCTGCTGCAGCCCCCCCTGCTGCCTCAAACTCCTGGCACTTTCTGGGCCTCAGTGAGCGGGCACACGCGCTGTGCCAAGCCTGTTACTCGGGAGTTCCAGCCTCCTTCCAGATGCTTCCCACACCGGCTTCATGCCCATTTATTTCCACATTGTCTGTGGAGCTGGTGCTGCTGGGCTGTGTTTTTAATTCTGTCCTCAGGTTGGGGCACTTTCCTTTCTTTAGAAATCCTCTTTTCTCTGTTCAGCCACAGTACAGACCGTGCCTGCTCCACATGCAAATTCCATATGTATGGCTGGAAAGACCAGAACCAGAAAATAGTGTCCTGAGCATGCTCAGACTGTTTCTCTTGTTATTCCCCTGAACGATACACTACAGCCACTCATGCTGTGTTTGCCTTTTATTAGGTGTTGAGGGGCTGATGGTAGGTAGCTCAGGGGCAGAAGGCTTGCCTGGCATCCCCAACGCCCATCTCCAGCCAGCTTCCCCCAAAGGAGTGTTACACATTGTGTTATACAATGTATGTAACCCAGAGAGAAACATATATAAGAAGTGCATAGATGATGTACAAGTATTAGACCTATTGTATTGAGGTTGTTTGTTTTGCTGTGCTAGGGACGAAGCCCAAACACTATGCATGCTAGTAATCTCTCTACACTCTACAGTTTTACTTTAGAGGATGTCTTGCTCTGTTGCATAAGTTGGCCTTGAGTGCCTGGGTCCAATGGTCCTCCCACCTGAGTAGCTAGCCTACAGGCACACACCTGAGTTTTCCTGAGTAGCTAGCCTACAGGTACACAAACCACAGTGTCTGGCTATGCCATTTGATGGAAGAGAGTTGAACATGGGACAATTTTTGTATCTGGCAGGGATCCTGGGACCCGTTCTACAAAGACCAAGGAACATGCAACTGCTCTTTACAATTAGCATCTGAGGTGTGTGTGTGTGTGTGTGTGTGTGTGTGTGTGTGTGTGTGTGTGTG